CTCCCCGCCGGGAGGGGAGTTTTGGTCTCCCTGTGTCCCGGACAGATTCCCAATAAGTCCCTCTGTAGTCGGGGTTTTCCAGCCAACCTGTCCCTGTGTTTTCTGCGTGGTGGCGTTTGGGTTTTGAGGGGAAAATCCCGGTTACAGCCGGTGTGTCTGGGCAGTTCTGAGGCTGGGACCGGGCCGTGTTTTCAGCTGCTTTCAGCAGTTTTTACTGATTTTTAGCTGACTAAAAAGTTTTTAGCAGTTCCTTTGGTTAAATGAAGGGCCTTCCCTGTTAGTTGTTTGTGATGTGCTTCAGTTCACCCTGATTAATCATTTCCTTCATTCCTCAGGCCCTGTTTCAGCACTTTGTGCTCGGGCTCGGCTCCTGCCCATTGTGTCACCTGCTATAATGGGGTGTTCCTGGGGTGATGTGGTTGACTGTATTAACCCCAGGGCATCCCCGAGCTGCAGCCAGTCCTTATCCTTAGAGGGTTTTTGGTGGGATTTCTGTGAACTTTTAGACTCGTGATTTGTTTGTCAGGGAAATCACAAGTGAGGAATCAAGAATTCAGGCTTGACACAGGGCCTGTGGTAAAACTTGAAGTCTGTGTGTTTGTGCTTTATTGAGGGGGGGGAAAAAAGAGAATATTCAACTAAAATTTCCCCGACTTTAGCAAGAATATGAACACAAGTTCTTTGTTTTGCACTGGTGATAGCTGCAGGCAACTCTTCTGCCAGCATTAATCTTTGGATTACTTTGGAATAGTGCTTGTGCTGCTGAATTAGAAAATAATGTAGTTCTGTATAGGAAAATTCCTAAATCCTACTCTGCTCAAATTAACTAAAATATTCCTGAAGTCTGAAGAAATTCTGTTTGTGTTTATTTCCTTTGGTTATTCTATTTCTAAATTATCAGAAACATCCTAGTAAGGTGAAAATACAATCCTTTCCCAGTTAAGGTGCCATTCATAACTAGAAATTTTCCTGCTTGCTCATTCCCCTGCCATACACCTGTGCATTTTCACCCCATCACCCACCTGGTGGTCAACCACAGATGAAAATGTCAGCTTGTCAAAAATATCGTACAGAAAACTTCTGGATTGTTTGTGGTAGGTGCCAAGGTGTCAGCCTGGCACAGGGATGAGGATTTTACAGCTGCCTAATGCCATGCCTCACAAGCAACTGTTGATTGAAATCCCTGGAGGAAGGGGAACGAGGGAAAAAGCTGTTTGCCCTCAGAATTAACCTGCACAGGTGAAGGAACGCTGTTATTTTTGTTCAGTGTTAATTGTTTGGTGTCTCAGTTTCCCCTGGCTCTGTTTCTCTGTCAATGTCCAATGTCAAATCCGTTCCCTCTGCCGCTGCCCCCAGGAGCTGGTCCGGCAGGGAGAGGCTCTGAAGCGCACGGAGCAGATGGTGGATAAAATGGACCAGGACTTGAAAACGAGTCAAAGGCACATCAACAGCATCAAGAGTGTCTGGGGGGGCTTGGTAAACTACTTCAAAGCCAAACCCCCAGAGAGCAAGCCAGAGCAGAATGGAGCCCCTGAATATTATGCTAACAGCAGGTAAGTGACATAAACTTTTTGTTTGGGACTTGTCTCTCACAGCATCTCTGAAATGTCACCAGAAAATCAGAAAACAAAACATCTAGTGTTTCATTCAAACTCCTGTAAACTCCTGACAAATCTTCTGGAAATTTGTATCCCAGCCTTCATGCTTTGACTTCTAGGGAATTGTTTCCATTGTTTCCTGAGGTGGTCTAGCTGCCTTTTTTCTTTAATGCCAAGGTCAATAGTAATGCTTTCTTACTTTTTTTTTCCTAGGTTAAAAGAAGCAATGATGTCTAGTAAAGAACAAGAGTCAAAATACCAGGAAAGCCATCCAAATTTAAGGAAGCTAGATAATTCAGGTTTGTTAACTTTATTTTACACTGAATGCCTGTCATCTATGTAGGGCAAACTTGCAGAGTGATAAAGGCAGAGACCCTTCAGCCTGCCCAGCTGCTGACTTACCTTGCTGCCTAACATCTGGAGATTGTATCCCAGCCTTCATGCTTTGAATTGTAGGGAATTGTTTCCATTAAAATCTTTATCACCAAAGTGAATATGTTATACTTGCTAGAGACTAAAAGCACCCAGTGCTTGTGTTTGCAGAGAATGCACAGGGTGTACAGACAGGGTTTCCCTAAGTTTGCCAAAATTTTGTACACTCAGAGGTTCTCCTTTTAACCATTATTTGTCACAGTTTTCAGATACGTTGTCCTTGTTATTTCAGACATGGATTCTAACCCTTCATACAGAAGCTATTTCTTGATTCCCAGAGGGTGGTGTGTGGAGTTTGGCCTCATTCCTCCTCCTCTCAATCTGTTAACTTCTGTGAGGGCTTTTTCCTACTAAATAACTGTTTGTTTATCGAGTGAGCCCGGGTTATTTCACACAGTAAGAGTGGGAAAGCAGCAGGATATCGATGATGATGTGTGAATAAGGGAATGAAGGCTTTGGGAGCTCGGGGTCCGTGCAGTGCCGAGCGCTGTCCAGCAGAGGGCAGAGCGGCTTCGGTCACGGTCCCAGCCCTTGGTCCCGCCCGGGTGGGCGCTGGGGCTCCGTTTGCTTTTCTCTCCCAACTCCCTGCCAGAGCTACAGGTGGCAGCCCGAAAGAGAATAATTGTAGCTTAAGTGCTCATCTTGGCCTACAGACAATGGTCTCGCACTACTCCTGGTACTCTGGTTATGTGATTTCCTGGCAGCTGTGTGCAAACTGATTTTTAACAGCCTTACTAAAACTTCAAAACCTCTTCTCACATGCTTTATTATATAATATTCTGTACTCTATACTTTTAACAGACAATGACTTCAACAAAGCAGAGTTAGTTTCTTCAGTGCAAAGTGATGCCTACCCAAAGAACCAACAACTGCGAGCTTACCACCAGAAGATTGATACCAACTTAGGTGAGTGAGGAAACTGAAGCTGTTTGATGTCCTACAACTGGGAATTTTTGACTCCTAAGCCAGATAGAATTAATAAGTGATATATTGCCAACACTTTTTTGTTTAGTTAACATGTAAAAGTTGATGATAATTTAAAAAATCATTTGCTTGTACTTGCATTTCAAAACTATCTGAATGGTACATCAGTTTAGACTCGATTTAAAGCAATGCACAGCTTTTGAAGTACATGTTTTGTTAAACGTTGCTAAGAATTGAAAGGCACTAAATATTTGTGGATTTGCTGCAATTTTTTTATTACTTCTCAAAGCAATTCAGCTGAGTTTGCCTTCCTTTGTTCTGTAGCATGTAGACAAAGCACCTGTTTGCTTACATGTGTCACTGTGTAGCTGACCTAGAAAGAAGAGGTTGGGAAAATATCAGAAAGGAATAAATGAAAGAAAAATAGTTGGTCATAAGAGCTAGTGGAAGCCCATTTTTTATGTTCACAAGCTGTGGAAAACTTATTGACTTCAATTAGTATTTATACCAATCAATCATGCAATGAAATTGTCACCTTTTGGTCACTTAGAAAATCTAGAAATGGGAGTTTTTCCATCTATGATAAACAACTGCTTAAATTTTCAGTGCACTGGTATCATCTCTGCATGAAGTTTAAAGAAAAACAGTTGAGGTGTAGTGAGCATACTGTGCATGCTGAGCAGAGAAAATATGTACCAAATTTTCTATGAGATACATTTTGTAAAAAAGGTAAAAACTACATTAAAGGCTATGTCATGTGATAGAGATCCAGTCTGGTGTTAAGCATTTGCTTAACACCAAATGTAAACTGTAAAAAAGGAGGAAGTGACCATTTCTGGTGGTAACAGTACAACTATGAACATGCCAGCACTTCCTCTATTTCAGAGGAACACTCCCACTTGAGGAATTGTATCTAACGTTCCCTAACCCAGGCTTTTGGAGAAGAAGGAATGCTGATAGTGTCCATGTAGATAATCTGTGTTTCAGCAGTTTGGTTCCTGATGGTGCCTCTCTCCCCTGACAGATGAGATGTCCTCTGGGCTGAGTCGCCTGAAGAGCCTTGCTCTCGGCCTGCAGACTGAGATAGAGGAGCAGGATGATATGTTGGATCGACTCACAAAGAAAGTAGAGACACTGGATGTCAACATTAAAAACACTGATAGGAAAGTCCGACAGCTTTAGAGGATTTTTAGAATTTCTTTTGTTCAGTGTTGGTTCATCCTGAATGCCTCATCTCAACCCAATCTCTTAAAAGCCATCTTGGGCGGTATCTGTTTCTCCTTTTTTTCTGCTCTGTTACTGGTTCTGTTGTCATTAAAATTGCATCGCCTTAAGTCAGCACAATACTTTACATTTCCTCTTAGTCTACATGGGAAAAGTGCATGTGGAGTGGAATCCCCCAGCACTGGGTCAGGGTGCCCCCTCAGTTGTGTAACCACCTTGTGTGTGTGGAGGGATTCACACTCCATGGACCTGCAGTGTCCTTGGCTGGGAGTGTGATGAGAAAAGGAGCTGCACTTTTGCCTCTCTTTTGGGGAGGAGGCAGGGGGAACAGAATGTGCTGCTTTGTTCAGAAGAAATGTTGCTAATTCTGTTTACCTACAGATATGTTAAATTCAGAAAAAAATGCTGATTTCCAGCTGCAAAAATATTTTTAAGTGACTGTTCTGCAGCATTTCTGGGGCTTAAGGAATGAACTGTTCTGTGGAAGTTGTAAAATATCAAGGGTGTCATGCAGCAATGGTAATATCCTGTGTGTGTTCCCTTTCCTAAGATGATTTTGCCCAAATGGTGCATCCACAAATTGTGGTTTTTATGTTTGGGTAACTAAATACTTTTGCTTTTACAGTCTTGTCAGTAAAGATCTCTAAGTGTATCTTCTGGTCTGCAAGAAATGTTCATTGACAGTGACCCAAAATGTTTGGGTAACAAAATCAGGACTTAATGCTCTCAAAGATTCTTTTGCAGAAATGGTCACCATCTGTTTTTAATTTTCTGCTGTTTCTCACCTTATTCATTTAGGTGGTTATTTGAAAAATCAGCTTCCATTTCAGAAATGGAGAGTTGATCTGATAGCACAAGCAGATTGTAGAAGACTATTCTTTAGCATTTGTTTCAGATGTGATTACAGCCAGAGCAGATGCTGCGCTTTGCTAATTAATGTGATTGTTAAGAAACTCCACTATGGTTCCCGTGCATCTGCACTGGCTCAGCAGGTATGAATAATTCCTGCAAATGAAGAAAAACCCAAAACCATTTCTTGAGTCTTCCAGATAGAATTTGGGCTTTCGCTTTGTTTTGTTCTTTTGTAAGGGTCACTTAGAACAAAATCACAATTCTGCTCCAGCCTGAAGACATGACAGTGAGAACTTGCTGTCTGCCTTGAAAACAAGCAAGGAACTCCTGTTTGGAGAGCCAAGGGACCTGTGTCAGTATTGGAACATCACAGGTGACAGTGTGTGGCCAGTAAGAGATTGTTACTTCTTTTGAACTAGTGCCACGTTGCCTTATGAATTAAAGAAAGATTTTGGTGTTCAGGGCTGTCAAGCTTGTCCTCCCCACAGATGTCACATTCACACCCCACTCATTCCTTTTCCAAGGGATGTTTCCTTGAGCTCACTTGCCACAAGGTGCATCCAGTTGTTAAGGGGAAAAGAGAAACTGAGCCTTTCTTGTTTTACTGTGTCTCCAGAAAGTTCACTCAGAAAAATAAGTCACTAAAAGCTACACTTATTGGACATAGTATTTTGGAAAAAAAGTACTATTGCTGGCATACAGGCAGGGTTGAGTTGTGAATTAGATTTAAGGTGAGCCTCTGTTCCCTTTGTTACGGGTGGCATTTATTTCAGTCCCCCCCACAAATGTCTCTTTTGGAGGGTCATAAAACTTCAAGAGCAATTGAGTACCTTTAATTGCTTTTTAATTTTTCAGTTTGTATCATTTATGCACATAAATAATTATAAATACCCTATTAATATTAATATATCATTTTACTGTTTGGGTTTATACCATGATTAATTATCTTACTCTGTTAGAATATTTATTAATTATATAATTTGATGTCTCAAGATAGCTGATACATTTATTTTGTAAATTATATAGTTACTAGTGTTCATATGTTAAGTACCTCAGTGAAGGAAGATCAAAATTTTGATTATACCTGGTTTAGTTTCTTATTTGTTTAATTAACACTCCTTTTAGTGTGAATTCTGCCTTCACCTGTAAGCAGCTGGGTGACAACAACAACTCAGTGTTTGCTCTGATAACAAGGGTGGACACTGAGTGAGACTTTCTTGACTAAATTATGGCCATGAAGGAAAAATGTCACTGGAGGATCTGGTTGTGTTATGTGTAGTGAGAAGTCTGGAGCTTGAATCCAAGCAAAAATCTTTGATTTAAGGGTGAACTGTGCTGCCTTTCTCATGTAAGCTATTCCATTTTTAGTCTAAGTTATTTCACAGAATTAACTCAAGTTTTTGAGCAAATGTTAGTTGTGCTGGCCTTATGAAATAACCAATGCATCCTGGATATCTTTGATGCCTTTAAAAACACAGGCAGGGCAGGGAAATAAAAAATAAATCCCTGTTTGTGCTTTGAGAATGCCCTGATCTCAGCCATGTGGAGTCTGTACAGAGGGGTAACTGCTCCTAACAACCCATCCACTGCTCAGTCATGTGTGCCTGCCTTTCCTTAGCTTTTCCTGCTCTGCTGATTGTTTTGGTTTGGTTTTAATGGCCTTGTTTTAAAGGATCATTTCCCACACTGGGTTTCTTTTGCAGGAGGAAAAAATGGTGCATGGATATAAAAGAATTTCTGCTACAAACTGAATTGCTTGTCTCTGCTTTCATATTGATTTTTGCCGATAACAAACTTAAGTCCAACTGACATGAGGAGACACCACTATTTTATAATAGTGATGATGTTTTTTATCTCTTGGAATAATTTTCCATCCTACAGGAAAAGGAAGTTTAAAGGAAAATAACCACATGATTTTTGCTTTTCCAGGAAATGCCATTTTGCATGTATAGTGAAGGATTTACTTCAGTAGCTTTTCTTACTGTTTCCTCAGATGGACTTTTATTTCTTCTTGGGTACTGTTGAAAAACTTTAACTGTGTAGAGTCCAGCACTTTCAGAAGAAGTTTTATTTGCACTCATGTGCTAATTTTTGATAAAATAAATTATTTGGCCTGCATATTCATGTTGGCATATAAGCTGGTGTTCTTGCAGCAAAATAGCTCTGGTTAATTTTCTTGGCTTGGGTAGAAGTTTAATAAGGTCAGAAGAAGATGGCAAAAAAACCAAAACATTTTAAGTATTCTTTATGAAAAGCAAATTTCCAGTTTCTCAAAAAGTTTGCTAATTAATTTTGAAGAGATCTTAAACACTGGGAAGTAGCACATGCCCTTCATAACTCAGATAGAAAATTCTAAAAGCAGCAAGGAAAAAGAACGGGAATAACCAGTATCTGATGACTAGACTCCTAGGTGTATTCAACTTTTAAATTTCCTGAGCATTGAATTAAATCTTGTAACAAATGATATGTAGCTGAATTTTAGGCTGTACTACACAGATTGTTTTGCTGTGCTGAGCTGTATGGGCCCTACCAAAATCATTGGGACATGATGATGTCAGGGCTTCTTCTAATGTGTGAAATTCACCTGAAATATTTTGCTGCCTAGTAGTCCTTGTGAACTGATGTCATTTGTTAAATGGTGAAATAGAAAATACTTTCCAACCAGTCTGCCTTCTAAACAAACATTTTTGTAGGCATTTTTACAAGCATAACATCATATGGAAGATGTGTTAATTTTGTATGGAGGATATGTGTTAATTTTTACTTTGAAACACATAGGACTTAATTTTCAAATCACAGGTAGTGATTATTTGTGTCTATGGCTTTTTAAAATAGAACTTTAATTCTGTGCTACCCAGGTATAACACTTTTTGTACAAGTCAAATTGCATTATCTTTTATTTAAATGCTAAACTGGGCTGTAGTTCAGCAGTTGAAGAGATTGAATGGAATGAGTGTTGAATGGCAAGACAGTCAATAAAGGTGCTTATTGTTCATGAAGAGTTCTTGCATTTATTTCCCGAATTTTTTTATTACAATTTCATTGATGCTATTCCCCCTTAATATCTATTAAAACACAGGACCTACTCTATTAAATTTGTACCAGCATGGACATAATTTTGCAGCTGGTGGGTTTTATTTTCTAAGAATAAAAGAGGGTATGACATTTCTATGTTATTCTTGAGTAGACTCTCTTAGATCCTGAGAGAGGAATGTAAACAAGCATTTATTTTTGCAAAAGAATTTATTTGTGATGATAAAATAATTCCAGATGTTGCTTAAAAAGTAACCTTGCCACAGTATTTGGTATTATCAGGAATATCAGTAAGTGGATGTATGTGTGAACATGGGACAGGTGAAACAGGAGTAAGGCATAAAAAGACACAAACCTTTTTGAAAACTTGTGGTATTTGTGTGGTCCCAAATTTGGTGATGGTAGAAAACTTGTGAATGTCTTAACCTTCAGGTAGGTTCTTACTTGTATGTGAAGGGAGGAACTTGGCTTCTGAATTTTTTTGCAGTCGAGTTTAATTGTCCCAGTACTGGTTCAGTACCATGCCAGTTCTATTTTCAGAAGTCCATATAAGCTGTGGTCCTGCTCATCTATCAGTGATCTTTGGAAAGTTATTTTCCTTAAGCCATATCCCTCAGCAATTTTTCATGCCATCCAAGCAATACATTCATTACTGAAACTTGTGTGATTTAATAATTTCCTGGCACAATAATTTCAAAACATGTGGGAGGAAAACTGCAGAAAGATTTTTCCATCTCCAGGTATTTATTTTACTGCATGAATCCTTGCTCTTGACCCTTTTGAATGGCTTTCTGTTGAGCTGGGTTTCAGCTGCTTGTTGAGCACTTGTCTGAGAGACTTCCATCCTTGCAGCCCAGGTGGAGGGAGGGGTGCTCATTCAGAGGAATCCCAGGTACCCAACTGCTGTAGCATTTCCAGCTTTGGATTCCTGGAGCTGTTTTCTTTTCCAATCCCAATAAGCTAAACAAACACCTTTTTTTTCAATCACCTGCTTTACTAATCAGTGTTTGAAATGCAATATTGAGGCCTTCCTCTCCACTCAACCCAGCTGTGCTGGGTTTACAGTGGCAGCCTGCCAGGAGCCTGAGGGCTTCACCTGTGCCCAAGTGAGGCAGAGGGAAGAGCACAACCACAGCAGCTCTTGTGTGGGACACAGCCCCACACTGCTGGTTTCCTTGTGTTACTGGGCACCAGCAGCTACTGGGAATCACAGAGCAGTGGGGTCTGGGTGCATTAAACAGCAAGACACCAGAGCCTTAAATTAGGAATGTACTTATTTAGGAAATAGGTGTGTGTTTATGTTGAGCACCACATTAAAACCATTCAGCTTCCTTGTATCTTTGCAGTTGGGCACATGCAGATGCACTGCTGAGTCAGCCTGGCTGTGCTGATAACCCCAGGAGATCTCCAGGGAATGTCTCTGCTTCCCCACGTGTCTCAAGTGTCAGGGTTATGAAGCTGATTCCTGTGAGAACAATTTTCGTTTGTTATTTGAGAGAATCATTAATTCCAACATACTCTTCCCTGGAGTAGTGATAAATAAAGGCATTAGATAACATTTCAAGATACATTTGTTAAGCCTCTACCACCTTTTTTTTGTACCTGCCCAAAAGTATAAAATGAGAAATCAGGAGAAGGAAGAGAACTTCTGCTGAGTCTCGGAGGCTCTGTTGCCCAATTGCTCAGTCAGCTGTAGGCCCTGTAGTACCACATAATGCAGTTATATTTTAACTCTCATCAACTGCTCTGCTGTTTTAGTACCTCTGTAGTACGGAATGACTGGAAGGTTGCCAAGTAAGGGGAAGTCTGTGTGTGAACAGCCGGGAGGGATAATACATAAATCTGCTGGAAAGAGGCAATTAAAGGCAGCATTGAGATAGAATGAAAAATAGACAATATTGAGCCTCATCAGAAATAGCAACATAAACAGCAGCTACTGTACTGTGAAGTGAACTTTGCTGTAAATAACTGCATTTTACAGAAAACAGATGGATTATGAAGTCTGTGAGCAGATGAACAGAAAGCAGTTTGGTCTTCAGGAACACATCCACATTGATGTTTGGCATGTCCTCCTGGCCCAAGGGGACAAAAGGTGGCTTCTTCCTGCTGCTGTATCTACAGAGTTCAGAGGGGAGCTGCAAAGTTGGATTACATGCAAGCCAAGTAGAGCTGAAAATAATTCTGCATGTCATCTGTAACTATGAATGGAGATGGCAGAGGAAGTGATATCTGAGATCAGCAGTGAAATAGAGGCTGCCTTGTTTTGTAACCCAGCAGCTGAGGAGGTAACACACTTGTGAAAAGGTCTAACACACAGGTCTCTGCTTAGGCAGGACTTCAGAAAGCCCTGCCTAACCAGACCTTGCCCACAGCTGACCATGACCTTGGTATCATCAGCACATCCAACCACATCATTTTTTGACATGAGTGGGTGGACTGGGAAAGGACAAACCATTCCAAAATGTTCATGTCACAAATGAGAGTGGATTCAGGCTGTGTTTTAATCCTATGGCCTAGATTTGACTACCCTTGTTCTAGAATAATTGATCAAAAAGCTCATTTCCTGTATTCTACTATTTATTCTGCTATTTTGCTGCTTTTGTGAAGGAGTAAGACCAATAAGACCAGTCACAGCCCAGACATAGCAAATCAAGTCCCTGTTTGCAGACACAGACTTGGCAATATGCATTAACTGAACATAGTTCTTGCATCAGGCAACATATCATGTGCTGTCTCAGCCACATTCTGAGCTAGAAGAGAAATATGCACATATTTAAAGATCTTTGGGGCCCGTGAAAGTGCTTGTTTCTTTACACTACACTTGTTTCTTTCAATTCTTTAGTTTGTCTCTTCCAGCATGACCAAAGAAACAGAAGAAGAGCTGCTTATTATTAACATGTTTCAGTCTTCATTATATGGGTAGAAACACACAAAGGTTACTCACTTTTGGTGTGCTGTAGCTCCAGCCTTACTCCATCCAGAATTTTGAGCACTGGACTCTGGTTGAGTTGGAGCAAATGACTTGTGGAGAGCTAAGATGAAAGAAGGAAAATTCTGGCACTGGGGGTACAAACATCCCTTTGCTTCCTGGATGCAGTATGGCTTGGCACAGAAAGGAGGAGGCAACTAAAAGCTACTCCATAACAACCTTCATATATTCTTTTTGAAATTAGTACTTAATTAGATCACATTTTTTTCCATTATAAGGACCAAAAATCTGCAAAGAAACATGACAACAAAATGCTAAATAAATTATTTAGCTAGGACTTTATATGCTTCCCCTTTCATTTTTTTTGTGTTAGCTTAAGATACACTACATATCTGGAACAGCACAGTTTGCCAAAAATATGATGTAAGTTTTTATGTTTCAGGGCATCCCTCGGGCCTTTAGAAAAGTAGAAAGTACCAAATACCCTTTAAATTCAGGAAGATCTTTCTAAAAAGATTAATTATACTCTAAAAAGACAGCATTGTAAATTCCCTATGGTGCTTGTTAAGGCCTCTGCACAGGTTTTCTCCCTTTTTTCAACATCCCTCTCACAAGTAGCATCAGTTCCAGTGAAAGCTCTGGCAGAAAGGGCCACGGCTGCCTTCATCTTGTGTCATCTAAATTCATTCTAGTGACAGGGCTGCAAAGTGCTTATGTATTGCTCCTGCCTTTGAGGCACTGAGCACTAGTAGGAATTTTTTTTAGCCAGACATTTCATTATGAGGACTTCCAGCTTGTAAGCCTGTGCTTGCCTACATTTTATTCCAGCTCAGCCATCTTGTTTGCTGCCAATAATCTAAAAGGTAGTAAATGTGTGATTTTCCAACCTCTCTGGGAAATATCTTTGTGTTGTGTTTGTATCTTGAATGTTCTAGTTAAGACTGAAGTTCCAGAAAAGCCAGTCTGTTACTTCCAGGTGATACATGTCATTAAGAAGCAAGAAATGCAGAGAATGTCCATTATAACCTGTTCCAGAAACAACTCCAGACAAAGCCAGGAGTGAATAAAAAAATGAGTGACTTTTATCTTCAGCATCCTGAAGTCCTATAAGCTGATAGAAAAAAAGCCTTTGTGTCACATAAAACAGCATTACATGGTCTAACCTGTTTTTGAAGGGGAGAACACAGTTCAGAAAATAATGGTGGTTTTGGGAGAGGATTTTTGAACCTATATTTAAAGCTAATGCAAAGGTACAGATTCATATAAAAGCAGGAATTTGGGCATAAGGAAAGGGAACAAAAATATTTCATGAACAATAAAACTAATTCAAGAAGGTACTGTCCTTGGTAAAAGATTTTTTTTTTTCATGATTTTCACTGACTGCTTCATAAATTTGCAAATAAAAGCTGAATTCCCACTTCAGTCATTCCTTCTAAATAAAAGTGTCTCCATTCTGGCTGCCTGTTTTCATGAAAACTTGCTGGAATTCAGTATCTTTGAGCTCATTCCTCTCGATCACATATGGTTGAATTTGGCCAATGGTCTCCAAACTGACTGTGGTGGGGAAAGGACACAGACAAACACAGCAAAAGCACACTCATAAAGACATCTTCCTTCTGAGGATGGGGGAAATTCACAGATGATGAATTTATAAAGTACTTCTTTCCAGGAGTAGGAGAATGGGAAATATATTGTAAATACCCTTTAGATAAAAGGTCTGTTTACCATCCCTATGGTTTACCAGTACATTCTCAAATGTAACTCAGTTTCTGCTTTTCTTGGCTTCATTCTCTTTCCTGGATAACATAATAATGTTAAGAAAATGAGCACTGAGGTTTTCCCTCTCAAGGGTCTATTTCAAAGGAAATAACTAAAAGGCCCTAAGAGCCAATATATTCAGCATTTCTCAAACACCCTGTTAATCTGCAATTGGACAATATGGCCTGGCTGTGGGACACTTGTGATAACCAGAAGACCCCCTCCAGGTCCTTTTCAGCCCCTTCTCATCCCCTGTTTATGCACACTGACTGCTCCTAA